GTAAACTGTCCACTAGTGAAGTGAAGTGTGAAGTGAGTTTTCTCAGTAATTGCCACGCTTGGCAAGCAAGTTGGCTACCGCAATTAGGCTTTGGTGATCTTTAAAGAGGGCTGCTGATGCTCATCCCTCGACCAATATATATATATATACAATATTTATATTATATTATTTAAAAGAATGTTTGAAAACCCTTTATTGTTTCAAAGAAGAATACAGATTATAAAAATTAACAAAATGCACACAAACAAAGTGAATATTTAATTACATAAAAAATTACATAACAGCAAGATAAAGAGGCAACAATGGGTGGCCTTATCGCTAAATAGATATTATATAATAAAAAAATATATGTATTTTCATAGAATTACTTTGTTGTTATATTAATTGAAATGTTCTAATTTTCTTTAAATATAAGTATGTGTGTGTTGTAAAAGTCTAAAAATGTGTGTTCTCATAAATTAATTTTAACATACATTTTATTATAAAGTTATATATAGTATTATCATTAATTTATTATTTACCACTATACTATATAAATCGTTTAAATCACTTCTAGTTAATCTATTAAAAAACCTTTCTTGGTTACTTACGTTAGTATTATAGCTGATGAAGAACCTATTTTAAGTTTGTTTATGCCAACCAAAGCTATATAGGCACGTTTGTTTTGTAAGTAATCGTGTTATGTACCTTATTCACTGAATGTTATTTTGTTCCTGAAAGGAAGTAGGTACCAAAATAAATCCTTAAGAATTTTATTAAAACTTTTTAATGTAAAATTACAAGAAATGGACTTTAGTTCTAAAGAATGTGTACTCGGAAAATTAACATGTGTTGGCTTTGTCACTAAATTTTATATCTGAATACAATAGCGAATGTCTTGCTCACCTGTAACTAGACTAGTATTTTATTATAACCTTAACTACTGTATTGTTATTAAATGTCTAAATATGTACGTCGTTGGTTTACCTTAATAAATAAATAATAATAAATGGGAACTCATGATTTAATTGATGATGAAGGTGAATATTATGATCGTCGCAAAGAAATAAAATTTTAATTAAAATGGGGAAATCTAAATCATTTCTAATATAACAGGGTTTAATACTTATTTTTTTTAGATACAATTTAAATTAATTACGACTTAATTAATTTCTTAGTACCGTAATTTTTTATATTTAAAAACATATGTTATTTTTCTACAAGATTTTAGACAAACCGTATACCGTTATCATTAACACCATTTTGAACTCCGTGTGGCCTGAATTTTTTGTGACAAATATTTTTTTTTTAACACGTAGGTATACGATGCATACACAATGTGCTACACATAACTTTTAACCTTTCGCCTGTCTCATTGGAGTCTCCCACAAGGTAACTCCGAACATTAATAAAGACGTAACTCATTGTTCTGCCCACTTAAATTTAAATTGTGTAATAAAAATATTAGAGTCTATTTTAGCCTGGCTACATAAGTGATTATAATACGTTTAAGTTCATTATCTTTTTGCTTAGGACCCACGTGGTGCACCATATGTGGGCCCGTCCAATACCGCTACAACCCGGGAGATACCAAACAACATAATTTAAAAGAAATTTTATCATTCCATTGTATTCCAATTTTGATGAGTTAAAATAAAAATATTTACATCACAACTAATGTATACTTATAAAATCATTAATAATAATAATCATTAATGTCAACTATGGGTGTTCATAACTATTTACTAAGTTTAGAAAGTCGAAATTTGGAACATAGGTTGTAAGATTTTTGAAAATTTCAACTTTAAAGGAAACAACACACGGAAAACTACAAGGAATAGTTAGTTTAAAACAAAGTAGTTTGTAAGGATAATACAGAAAATAATGAGTTGCGTAATATTGACATAATAATTTTAAGGAAACATTATACATTTCGAATGATTTCTAAAGATTTAAATAATATATTTGACTATTTCTTAAATAAATAAATAAATATTTTTCACCGCTGAAAAATTACAGTAGGTATATTAAATCATATATTAATCAGAATATTAATTATAAATAATATTTATGAAAATCGAGTCTTTTCACAGACAATTTATACAAGCAGAAACAATCTTTTGCTACAGAAACAGAAAAGTAAGTAATCATTAGAAAATTAAAATTGAATTTAAATTTATTTTTATTATACATACCTACTTACTTGTTAATCAGTGAAATTAAGAACAAATAACCCTACACCTACTTAAATGAAGTATAACATCATTAAACTTTTAATTAATTAATAATATTTAAAAAATCATAGTAAATATTATGGTATTCTTAATATTATTCGTCAGTAATAAACACAAGCATCTTTGTGTAGTAATTTTTTTTATGAATCTACCGCCCAGTTCGGAATATATTTTCAACTGAGAAGAACGGGCAAGAAACACAGTTGTTGGTTTTTTTTAAATAAAAGTTAATTTTACAACAAAAAAAGTTAACTGTTACATCATCTAAAGTCTTTGTGTAATTCGGCTTCACATATTAATATAATGAAACCATCTTAATTGTGAGTCTTAATAAAAGGTATTATTTAAAATGCTACATGACAAACGCCAATGAATCAGAAATTCTCATGAAGACAAAGCGGCGCAGGCGCAGCCACATGCGGCGCACATTTCAAATATCTCCCCTCTCCCTCCTCGAGCCTCGTAACGACACCCTGTCTGTGAAACGACTGAAAAAATTGACCACAGCTAAATAAATGGTCCTTATTATTGAAAACATAAAGTTCGAAATGAATTTAATGTTTTTTTTTTGTAAATTATTTACAATGTGACCTTTTTTGTTGATTTAATGGGGTTAATGACCTTATTTTCGTTCTTTCAGGTATATTTACTTTTATTATTATTTGTCTATTTGCCGTCTACTAATACTGTATATGTCTATGAATTAAACTTCTTTTATAGCAAATTATGGGTTGGAAGAAGTTTATAGGTGATTTTTCAACCGACTTCGAACAGGAGAATTTTTTTTAATATTTAGAATGTCATATAATCTGACAGATCGTCAACTTGTATGCCATTTATGAAAAGTAGTAACTGTCGCCGATAAACATGAAATCCACCGTACCATAAATGAACAACAAAGATTTTACAATACAATACAAAATTTCTTTTCGTTAAAGTTGATTAAATACAAATATAATAATAATAATAAAATAACATTGAGTTATAACATCCAAACGATATCTAAGATTACATTATCAAAGATAGTAACTAATATCAATAAATATCAGATTATGCTGGCATCTCAATGGAGATTTATAAAATTTATCTTGGAATATTTTATTTAGAATAGAAAAAAAAATATTTCGCCCTGTGTACCCTGGAGCAGAATGGGCTACCCCTTCCTTTCCCGTGGGTGTCGTAAAAGGCGTCTAAGGAAGGGAGCTTAACATCATCAAAAGCCTAACTGCGGTTACCAATCCGCCTGTTAAGCGTGGCAACGACTGGCAAAACTCCCCTTATGGGGCAGGGCTTATTATCCAGCAGTGGACTCTCTTAACAAAATACAACAAAAATACAAACAGGTACAACTGCAATTGCATATTACAAGAATTTGCCTATTATGTCAGTACAATATTTAATGGACATTTACAGAGTGTGACATTATACAATATTTCTTAAACTTAATAATATAAATTCTTATTCTTTCTTTTTATTATGCAACTTAGTATGCAATCAAGCTGACGGCCCACCTGATGGAAAGTGGTAACCGTCGGCTATATGTACATGAGCAGTACCACGGACATAACAGAGTATATTGTTTCGCCCAAGATACCTCCCATGCGTTGTCACTGCTGAGAACTTAGGTATTATTCCTCTGTACCTTTTAAATTCACTGCCATATCCCACCCTACAAACCGAAACACAGCCATGCAAACATAACTGCTTCACGGTAGAAACACGAATGGGACAGAGGTACCTTACAACTTTGTACAAAGTCTCCTTCTTTCTCCTTCTTTCTGACTGTTCCAGTTTGTTTGGGGTCTGTTCTCCTAATAGTATTAAATCTATTTAGATTTATATATATTTATATAATAATTACCTTTTACCGGTTATCTCACTCATGTGACCGAGTTACATAATAGCCTAATTCCTTCTCCATATTTAAAATATTAGTAAGGACTATTATTAAATATTATTGTTCTACCCGCACATTTGCTTTTTTGTGTTAAACAATTAATTATCATTGTTTAATTGTATTTAAACACACTATTATTCTTTTATGAGACTAAGAATGACAAACAAGCTAATCAGCATACGGTTGCCTATAGACATGAACACCACCACTATCATAGAATACACTGTAAGGTACAATATAAGGTATCTCTTATTCGTGCCACTTATAAGGAATATAATATTATTATAATTACATATTCGGTTGTTTTTTTTTTGTCTTTATTTTTCCACTCTTGATTGTTATAAATTTAATATGTCTGAAGAATTGTAGATTCTAAAAGGATGGACTGATTTTTAGATAGTTTTTTTAAAGGTAATTTGATCAAGACTGATCTTACATTATGATACAAGGAAAACTATTTATCCGTTTATTATGAGAACTATGTGCTCTGTTATGGTTGATGAAAGAAATGTGAGTAATTTATATAATTCATTGATATTGTAGGAATATGGTACCCCTAAATTGATGCTATAGCATGATTTGGAATTATATAATATACAAGTCTTTATTGACGGATCAGAAATATTATAATTTGAGTATTTTCAATAAATAGGGTATAGTCATTAGGATCTAATAATGAAGCAAAGTAAAAAATAATAATAATTTGAATATCAATATGTAATTATTAATAACAATGTGTTCATTGCATTTTTTTATATTTAATTAAATACTTGTACTTATTTTCTAATGAATTGGTTTTTTATACATCGGTGTGTACGCGGAATTCGATAATAGTCTTCAATACTGTGATAAGATATACCAAGATCTATGACAATATGTGACACTTAATCTTCAGTTCGATTTTAGCATATGCAAAAGAATGTGGTATATTGCAAGTATTTTTAGTTTTTTTGTACTTACGTCATGCGAAGGACAAAATCCTGTGGTTTCTATACGACAAGGGACTGTTATTGGAAATTATGTGCAAGATGATAATTATTTTGAGTTTCATGGAATTCCCTACGCCGGTTCTACATCAGGCATCCATAGATTCAAGGTAAAAAAAAAGTATTTAACGCAAATCTAAATATACATATATATCATACATATTGATACCTACTCCTGTTTATTGATCTTTAGTGAAACAAAAAAAAAACAAGTATTTGCTTTAGTACTTGCCTTGATGTAAATAAAATAGTTTTTACTATATAAAACAAAAATGCATTTAGACACAATAATATAATTATCTTTTTAGGCACCTTCACCACCACCCATATTTGAAGAACCCTTTGTGGCTAATCGGACAGACATAAAATGTGTCAGACCTCTAGGCGTAGGATACGAAGGAATAGAAGATTGCTTAGTGGCTAATATTTTTACTCCTACTCTCGACAACAATCGAAATCTACCTGTAATGGTTTGGGTGAAAGGAAAAGAGTTTGATAAAGTGTATGAGCCTGAACTGTCTTTTCGAAACTTCATGACGAAGGACGTTGTAGTAGTTTCACTTAATTTTCGTGAATCAATATTGGGTTTTCTTTGTCTTGGAACTGAAACAGCCCCTGGAAATGCAGGCCTTAAAGATATTGTAGCAGGATTGCGGTGGGTACAAGAAAACATTGTTCAATTTGGAGGAAACCCTAATGATATTACTTTGTTTGGACATGGAAGTGGTGGTGCAGCTGTAGATTTAATCACTTTATCCCCATTAGCAAAAGGGTTAGTACACAAAGCAATTTCTCAAAGTGGCAACGCACTTGCTCCATGGGCAGTATCTCGAGACAATTTAAATTACGCAAAAATTGTATCCGAAGCTCTTGGACATAATTTGGATAGTACAGAAACACTATCTGAAGTATTCACTAAAATCAATATTGGCGCTTTAATGAGCGTTATTAATGAGCTTGATCTTACTGATAATTCATTGGCATTTGCTCCCTGTATAGAAAACAAAGAGATAAACGGAGTTGATCCCTTTTTTATCAAATCACCGTATGAAATTGTTACTGAAGGTGATTATTGGCCAATACCATTTATGATTGGTTTTGTGGATAATGAAGGAACAATTAGAAGTGAAGAATTGATAGAGTTCGATTGGTATGATAAAATGCTAACTTCATTTCCTGATTTTATACAATCTGATTTAAATTTCGATTCATTGGAACAGAAAACAGAAGTGAGTGAGCAGATTAAAAACTTTTATTTTCAAGGAAAATCTGCTACTGATATTGATAGATATCTTAGTTATCACGGCGATACTATGATATTAGTGCCTACTATAAGAGAAGCACGTCTACGATCAGTTACTTCTTCTGCACCTGTCTACTTATATCAGTTCTCTTACAAAGGATTATTGGGCGAAACTTTTGTAGGTCCGTTGACAGATTTTGTAAAGAGTGCAGCGCATAGTGTAGAATTAGCTTTTTTGTTTTATGATAAACATGATGAAGATGGAGTGCCTGTGTTAGATCTAACAATTGGAGATATTTTAATAGAACGATGGACGAATTTTGCTAAAAGTGGGTGAGTATCTATATTTTTTAACATGATGGATTTTTAAGTACAGTTCTGTACAAATAATTATTTGTTAATAAGAGATATTTATTACGATTACTGGAGTTAAGAGCATTCATTTACTTTGTTTTCTAAATTATATTGCATCTGTTTTTCTATCAATACCTAAAAAAGGCGTTTTGAAGCTTTATTTCGTTATTAATTATTGTCACTATTATAAAACTGTAATAGAAGTTATATGTATGGATATTTATGTCCCACCCGTGTTACTGCCATAAATTAATTGTATTCACATGGCATTGTATTTCGGAAGTGAAGCGTGAGATATGACAGTAAAAAAATATACTGATAAAAATATAGTACCATAGTCTTCACGAATGGCAATACTGAATACGTTGTGATGTTCATTGGAACATCACAGCTTATTAAGCGATGTGCATTATAATTGTAGTTTACTTGTTTACCACTTATTACAAAATAAATCAACAATATGTTTTTTTTCAGAATACCAGGTAGTGAAACTTCTAATATACTTTGGGAGCCATTTACTATGGAAGAACAAAAGTACTTAAGAATTCTTGACAAGAATGAAGTTGATTATGGAGGAGAAATAATGTTAGAAATACCTTTAACAAATCCTCATGGGGAAACTATGGCTTTATGGGATGAAATTTACGAAGAACATTTCTTGGATGCCAAAGGTAGATGGAATTTAGGCGAAAGGAGTAAAAAATATAAAGCAATAGATTACGACAACAAATATGAAAATGATGATATTGAAAACAAAGATGTAGATAAAGGTAACAAAGAAGACAATGAAAATAAGAACGAGGATGAAATTGAAAATGAAGATAATAATGATAACGTGGATGAAAATAAAGACGAAGATGAGGATGAAGACGAAGATGAAGACCAGGACGAAGACGAAGATGAAGACCAGGACGAAGACGAAGATGAGGATGAAGATGAGGACGAGGACGAAGACGAGGATGGAGATGAGGACGAGAACGAGGATGGAGACGAGGACGAAAACGATGATGAAGATGAGAACGAGGATGGAGATAAAGACGAAGACGAGGACGAAGACGGAGACGAGGATGGAGATGAGGACGAAGACGAGGACGAAGATGGAGATGAGGACGAAAACGAGGATGGAGACGAAGATGAAGACGAGAACGAAGACGGAGACGGGGATGGTGATGAGGACGAGGACGAAGACGAAGATGGAGACGAGGATGGAGATGAGGACGAGGATGAAGACGAGGATGGAGATGGGGACGAGGACGAAGACGAGGATGGAGATGAGGACGAGGACGAGGACGAGAATGGAGATGAGAACGAAGGCGAGGATGGAGACGAAGATGAAGATGAGGACGAAGACGGAGATGAAGACCAGGACGAAGACGAAGATGAAGACCAGGACGAAGACGAAGATGAGGATGAAGATGAGGACGAGGACGAAGACGAGGATGGAGATGAGGACGAGGACGAGGATGGAGACGAGGACGAAGACGAAGATGGAGACGAGGATGGAGATGAGGACGAGGATGGAGATGAGGACGAGGACGAAGATGAGGATGGAGGTGAAGACGAGGACGAGGACGAGAATGGAGATGAGGACGAAGACGAGGATGGAGACGAAGATGAAGACGAGAACGAAGACGGAGACGGGGATGGTGATGAGGACGAGGACGAAGACGAAGGTGGAGACGAGGATGGAGATGAGGACGAGGATGAAGATGAGGATGGAGATGAAGACGAGGACGAGGACGAGAATGGAGATGAGGACGAAGGCGAGGATGGAGACGAAGATGAAGACGAGGATGAAGATGGAGACGGGGATGGAGATGGGGATGGAGATGAGGATGAGGATGAAGACGAGGATGGAGATGAGGACGAGGACGAAGATGAGGACGAAGACGAGGATGGAGACGAAGATGAAGACGAGGATGAAGATGGAGACGGGGATGGTGATGAGGACGAGGACGAAGACGAAGATGGAGACGAGGATGGAGATGAGGACGAGGATGAAGACGAGGATGGAGATGAAGACGAGGACGAGGACGAGAATGGAGATGAGGACGAAGGCGAGGATGGAGACGAAGATGAAGATGAGGACGAAGACGGAGACGGGGATGGAGATGAGGACGAGGATGAAGACGAGGATGGAGATGAAGACGAGGACGAAGACGAAGATGGAGATGAGGATGAAGAAGAGGGTGGAGACGAGGATGAGGACGAAGACGAAAACGGAGATGAAGACGAGGACGAAGACGAGGGTGGAGATGAGGACGATGACGAAGATGAGGGTGGAGATGAGGATGAGGACGAAGACGAGGACAAAGACGAGGACGAAGACGAGGATGGAGATGAAGACGAGGATGAGGACGAAGATGAAAATGAAGATGATAACGGTTTCGGTTACGGAAATGGTGAAGATGAGAACGGAAACAGTGACAGTAACGAAGATGGGGACGGCGACGGAGACGGAGATGAGGATAGTGAAGAGAACGGAGATGGGGATGGGGACGGAGACGGAGATAAGGACAGTGATGAGAATGATGATGGGGATGAGGATGAGGATGACGGGGGTTCCGATTCGGCATCAACTGCTATCGGATATACATTCACTATAATATCCATATTTGTATTTTTAAATCAATTCCATTTATCTCAAGTACTTTCGTAGAAAATACTAAGCACCTTAATGTAAATACGAGTGTAGAATACTAGAGGCTTTCTATTAAACCGTCTACAAAAAATACAGTCTTGTACAAATTTTATGATTAAATTTGTTACAAAGACTTCATTGCTATAGATGTATTATTATTTAATATCTATGCAATAAAGTAGAGATAGATAGACTTGATTGTTATATAAGTATTTGAAGTATTTGTAGTGAAATAAACCACTAATCTCGAGTACTTTCGTAGAAAATATTTTGCAGATTATTAAAAATGTATAAAGAAACAAATTATGATTGGCCCACTTTATTTTGCATAATATTTGAACATGTTAATTATCTTGTATAAATTTTAGAATGAAATTTATTACAAAGATGTAATTAATATAGAATTAATATTATAAAATAGATTTGGATAAGAAGTAAACAATGTTAATTATTTATATTTTTGTAGAATAAATTTATAATTGTATATCCTTTGATATGGTATTTCTATATCAATATAAAATATAACTTATAGAAAGATTAAATTATATATGATCTAAGTGAATATGAGGTAATAGCCGAACTCTTTTTAACTAAACGGAAAAGAGACTGCATTAATTTGTGGGGGAGGAAATAAAATAATTCTAGAAATATAAAAGTTTATTCACAGTTACAAATGTAATGTTACAAATTAAATTATTACATTCATTATATACAGTAACATAACAACATTTGAAACTAATGTTTGCTAATGCTAACTGAAATTTATTTTTTTTAAGTTATATTTTGAAATACTTTTATTTCATTTATTAAGTAATTTATAGTACCTCTCTAATTTTCATTCACACTAATACGACCGAGCGAGTTCTCACTTATTATTCAAACTTTTCATTAGAATTATACTACACACTAATACTCTTCACTATACATTCATCTTCTTATTCATAGAAACTAAAATGTCTTATAATCTTTGAAACTATGGTAAACGGTGTTGGCGGCAAATTTACTCAATGTTTTCTTTGATTAATGTTATACATATATTAATCTTTATTTTAACACAATACAGTGTTTTGTCACTTTCAATCAAAATGGGAATTTAGCACAAAAAAAGGAACAAAATAGTTTAATAGCCAAAATAAGTTTATGAGATGTTTGAATTTGTTATGAATAAGGAGGTCAGTCCATAAAATAACAAATATCTTGTACTTAAACACATTGACTCCTAGAAAGTTTAAAGAAACTGTCGAAGAGTTTTTTCAATGTCATGTTGGGAATAAAAGTAAATAAAACTGTTAAACAATTTTCATAATTTGTCATCATGTTAGAAATTGTTTGCGTGTTATTTTTTTTTTAGAATCAGTAGGTATTAGACAATAACGTATTAAAATCATTTGAATTTGATTTTTATTTATAATTAAACTTAATCAATAGTGAATATATATATTTTAGGAAAAACATTCAAACTGTTTATAGTAAAAATCGATTTCATAATGTGGCTAAATGATTTTTTTGCAATTTGTTTATGGCACAACTTATAATAATTTGATAATAAGTAAGATGTTGGAATATGATTTCGATATTTTATATTTTTATTTCAGATTAATTATAATAAATAGCTAAATATATATATTTTTTTTATTTTATTGGTACGAGTACCATTACTTACATCAATTACTTTGCTGTTTATAAGTAATTAAAAATTAAATAGGAATATAAATTCATCCCTGTATCTAGCTAGCTACGTGCTGGTGGATAAAAGGTCAGGGGTTTTTTTTTTTTTTTTTTTTTTTTTTTTTTTTTTTTTTCAATATTATTTGGTTCGCGATTGGGAGATGAGTATTAAGCTTTAGAGTTTTAGTTGACTTAAGCTGCGAAAAGGTCAGGGGTTTGCAACTCTTGTTGACGGTCATAGGGTCAGTTGATTGTCAAACTTTTTTATGTAAAATGCACTATATATTTATAAGTATAGGTAAATATAGACATAATGTCACGCAGATATTTAGATGCACTTTATTTTTTGTGTTTAGTGACCTTATTACCTGTTTTACAGTAATTAATTCATTAGATATATGTTGACTTACAACACAAAGTATGTAGTTATGAAAAAGAGATGAATTGACTAAAATTCAACGTTTCGCTGACTGATACACTCATAGCATAATTCAGCTGAGTCATTCCTTTCAGTTTAAAATAATTTACCTATAATTAAAAATACAGACTTGTTAAAGTGTTTGTATAAATATGTAGTGAATCAAAGCAAACAGGAATGACAACCATGACCGGTAACATTTGCGTCACAGTATATTCTGTAGGCTTGTTTGCCATTCTCAAGTTGTATAAAAAAGTTGTTGTTTTCTAGTAATAAACACGTGCGGTAATTATTATTACCTTAACTACTGTAGGAAAGAGGAAATATTTGAATTTTATTTTGTTTGTTTGTAATGGATAAACTCGAAAATAATTAAGTAATTTTAAAAATTCTTTAAAATGCCAATCCCCCTGTCTGGCAACTACTGGCGAAACTTCCCTTATGGGGAAGGCTTATGTTCAGCAATGGACACTTAACGGCTGAAATAATAACCTCTTTTGCTATACCTATCGTCCCGTACGAAGCTGGGTAGATAGTACATTAAAAAGAAGAAGTATAGAGATAGAGTATAGTGATATAACCATATCAGTCAGTTCGTAACAATGGCCAGTATAACCTACTTGGTGTGTCGAGATAAGCTTAGGCAAGTTGTTTGCAGTTGTGTTTGCATGGCTGTGTTTCGGTTTGAAGGGATATGGCGTGAAATTACAGGGTACAGAGGAATAACACCTGAGTCCTGAGGAATGGCAACGAATGGGGGTGTTCATCATCATCATGGGCGAAACAGTATACTCTGTTATGTTCATGGTACTGCTCATGTCTATAGGCGACGGTTACCACTTTCCATCAAGTGGGCCGTCAGCCATTCTAAGTTGTATAAAAAAAAGACAAAACCTTAACTAAAAATAAAGAGAGAGAAAAAATATATCTATTTTAACATAAATAATCTGGTCAAGTACCTCTTCTTTGAAACCATAAATCATGAAATGCGAAAGTCTCGAAGTTAATATATTTAAAAGTTGTACTTAAGTTTGATGATTGAGTAGTCAATCTTTAACGCGAATTTCAAAGAAAAGTGTCTTCTTAGAATAAAATAATTTTCTCATTTACGACATTATCAATTAATTATCTGAAAAGTTCTTATAAAATAAATTTTAAACTTACGCGTTGTTTACACACATTTTAAATACACTATCAAGATTTAACGCGATGAGATTTTTTTGCAAGTAAATAGTACCTACATACCTGCTTCTTTATTGTCGACGTTTCGACCTGTATTGCACCACGTGATGACCACGACATAATGCAATTCTCATCGCATTAAATTTTAATTGATAAAAAATTAATTAATTGATAGTGTATTCAAAATAAGTTTATATGGAGAAAAAACGTAATAATATTTTAACAGAAACACAGTTGCATTGTTGTAAACAAAAGCGCGTGCATTAAATTAATTTTAGAATTTTATGGGCCATTGCATCGAGCCCCCTTAGCAATGTTTATAAGAACAACCAACGGTGACTATAAAACTGTTGGCCATGGCAACCATTAAAATTGCAAAAGTGCAGATTTGCAGTCTGCGTTTAATGTTTCGTAGCATGCTGCAACAGCTGCATTCTCGATATTACCAGCATATTTTAATAATATTGTACATATTTTTTACTTATATTATAAATAAACTTTTTTCTCGTTGCTTCAAACGCGTTTTCGGAAGTAGAAAACTAAAAAAAATCAAGTCTACTTTTAGATGACGTATCACAAAAAATACCAGATTTTCAGTTAAACCTATAGAAACACAACTGTGAAAACCGTGTCCAATTAGGTGCATTAGTTTTTACGTGACGCCAGAGCAAATAGGCAGACTAAATTTAAAAAAAAATATATTATTATTGGCTTTTATTGACCTTATTAAGACTCCCTATGTTATTGTTTCTTAAACATCTCCCATGTACAGATATCTAGTGATAATTTTATTATATTAGTGACATAAAATTTATAATTTTTTTTTAAAAGAATAGCTTCCTTTCTTCCTCTGCTGGAACTAGATTACCACATTTAATGGTAGAATTAACAGGGCGTTTTGTTACTCTTTCAAATTAAAAGTTTAGTGTAAAATCAAAAGACAAATTTTATTGACTAGAACAGGTTTATGAAACCTTGGTAGTTTTTATGGATAAGAAAGTAGGAGTTTGGTTGATTATTAATAAAAAAATAGAATAATCATTAAAATTGGTACAGTATTTTGGAACAAGTGGTGTAATGTTATAAAAGACAGTTATTCAAATTCTACATTTGTTTTTTCTATATGAATGTTGTTCTTGACTGATTTCACGATTTAAAAAGTTGGTTATATTTGATTTATTTTTAAAATAAATGTATTATTAAAAAGATAAAAAAATTAGTATTTTCGAAAAAATTAACAACCTGTATCTATATTACCGGCATTACACCACAGACTACAAAGTACAAGATATGTACATACCAATTATTATGTACTGCAGTAAATACAGATACAGGTTGTTCTTTCTTTGAGAACTTTATTTATTTTTTTGATAATATAACTTTATATATATAAATTGGAAATAAAAATATTTTTCTAAGAAAATTAATTTTTTTAAATACCAATTTTAAGGAATGGGATACATTAACATACTTCATCTTTGACTTTTTTACCTTTTGCTTTTATTTTCATTCGATATTTAGTCCCAAGTAAGTACTTGTGCATATGACTGATTTGCTGAGCACACGTGCTAGCCATGTAAATTTTTAATGTTACCCGTTCTTTAAAAGTAAGAATAGTATGGACATACCACTAATACTACATACAATATAATTATTTATTAAAAAAAAATAAGTCATTATCTAAATAAACATACATAATTGTCGACGAATGCCTCACCTCTGATTATTCTATCACATATTACTGTTACTACATAATTTAGATCGAATAATTGTTACATTTGTAATGAGTTAGGCTAAATTACATATTGTTATTACTAGATAACACTTATACTCTGTTACAAATTTATATATTTGTCATCATCATCATTATACAATACCTACTTGTATAACAATTAGTCTATTACTCTAAGATTGCCTTGAAAAGATTGCTCTCAGCAATAAGACCGCCTTACTGTACTTATACAATTGTATTGTTATATTTATTAATTGTGTTGTTTTTCATCTATATTGTATAATGCAAATAAACTATACTCATTAATTCATTCATTCGTTCATCATTATCATCGTCGTCATCATCATCATCGTCGTCATCATCATCATCGTCATCATCATATCAGATTTTAACTGTCCACTGCTGAATATAAGCCTCCCCATTGGGGGATTTTCTCAGTAGTCGCCACGCTTAGCAGGCAACCGCAGTTAGCTATATTTATAGTTATAATTTGCTAATATAACACCAATTTTACTTTTGAAACCATGTTTAAAGATTTTTTAAAAATATGTTTCCTATGTATTAATTTTATGTATTAAAAGATTATTATGATCGTTATATAATACTATAATAAATCAAATAGGCAGAAAAATACTAAGATTTTTATATGTATAAACTACTGAGGTTAGTAGGCCTCTCCTATTGATACGACACGCTGGTACAATTTCATCGGTGGATTAATTGAAATAAATTATATTATGATTCGTTAATCATGAAATTATATGAATAAATATAAAATCATCTAAATATATTTTAATATTAGAAAAAAGAAATATTTTATTTTTGTGTTTGTTATTTTTTGTTTAAAATGGATACTCTCAAAAACTACTCGACCGATTTTAAAAATTCTTTTACCTGTAGAAGGCTATATTATTAGCAAGTATATTATTTTCAAATTAATTAGAGATCTTTATAAAAATTTCAACTTGCCAACTTGTGCAAAGCTAGGGCAGATCGCTAGTATGTGACAATGTGATTACTTTTTCATTAGCGGTGTGCAAATTTGAATGATTTCTTTATTCGAATAATTGGTAATTTTATTTCATACAACTTAGAATGGCAAACAAGCTGACGGCCTACCTGATGGAAAGTGGTAACCGTCGCCTATAGATATGAGCAGTACTATGAACATAACAGAGTATGCTGTTTCGCCCATGATACCCTCCATGAGTTGCCATTCCTGAGGACTCAGGTGTTATTCCTCTGTATCCTGTAAATTCATTGCCATATCCCACCCTTCAAATTGAAACACAGCTATGCAAACACAACTGCTTCACGCTTAAAACACGAATGGAACAGAGGTACTCAAGCAAACTCTGTTATTACTTATTCATATTATGATGGTATAGAGGAACAAACTAATTTTTTCGATAGCTGATTAGTAATGAAAGTTGCTATTTTTAACCTAATATACTAAATTGGCAACACTGTTGATCATTCCGTTCGAGCGATCGGCTCAACTCGGCTACGTTCGCACCGATTCGTACGTCAACATAATGAATAATTTTAGCGACTGGCAGAAGCAGTATAGTCAATGAATAAAATAAGTAGTTGAATGAGTTTTAGATAAATTCGATTGTTTCGAATCAATTGCTCAGTCGAATAATTAGTAGTCGTATTAGGAAATTCGCGCATCGCTACTTTTATTTAAGATCTACTGAAACAGAGATTAATTTCGATTTGATCTCAGTTTGATTGTTTTAGAAATCACCCCGTTGGGGGAAAGGGATTGTTAGCAATAGAGTTTGACAGCCTCATTGCTAGTAATATGCCTTATTAGGTCGACCTCCACGTGGTTCCCCGTGGAATCCATCGTGAACAATTCTTGTTGAATGCGTCACGATGGGCTAACTGACCTACTTCATCCTCACCTATCATACTTCACTGGTGCCCCGCCGGTGTATACCGATAGCGCGGGTGGGACTACCATTCCATTATCATCCATTAAAAAAAAAATCACCCCGTAGGTCCATATAATTCTCACAGTGTACAGTATGATGCTATAGGCGCCCGCGCCCGTGCCGCAGCCGCCTCTTTCGGGCCATGTGGCTCCACATCCTGCCGCCGACCCGCGCTCACCTTGTTCAGGTTACGACTGCACGGAACGTTATGGGAGGGGAGCTTGCAAACCATTATTGTGTCTACAGTCTATTTGAATGGAATTTAATGAAAACGTAAATGAATGAACGAATGACCCGGTCATAAGATATTTTGTCAATAAAGAATTGCTGTCGGAGATTGATGGCTAAAATGGAAGGTTGTGGAACTTCCAAGGGAACTTGTAACCACGAGTTCCCTTCCCTTCCTTTCTCATGGGTGTCATAAGAAGCGAATAAAGAAACTTAATGGTAGAGGGATGAGCAGCAGCGTTCTTTTTAAAACATCACCAAAAGTGTCAATACGATTGCCAATCTGCTGCCAAGTGTGGCAAGTAAATAAATATTTTTTCTAAAAGTGAAATTTGAGCACTTTTT